TTTTCTTTTCTCTTTGGTCATTTATTAATGCTGAGAGCTGGTTGAATTGACATCAACACGTGCAAAGAATCCGTTGAAGCGTACACAAAGCTCGAGAGCCGATCAATGATGATGTCCTCATAATATACTGTTTTGTAACATCAACAAATAAAACGGACATTTGAGAGAAAAGCAATGGCAATAAAGAAAATACCAGATGGAATATAGTACTGTGACACCTCTACACAAGACCCCAGTGAAATATCATTAATCCTAAAGAACACGGTATTCTCATTTCTATAGCCCAGTGTCTACTTGCTGCCAAAAAATGATAAATAGCCCTAAAATAAAACACTAGATACTATTTTTGTCACGAATGTATTTTTATTGTTCATAGATCTCCGCTTGCGTGCCATAAAGGCAGTTCCGTGGGACTTTGAAATCCCTTTAACGAGAACACTTTTGTTCTTTTGGAGTATAAGGCTTTATATTCACAGAAAGCGCCCTTTTGTGAAGTTACCTTCAAAAACCTTCTGTGCTTGTCCGACAAATTACAAGACAAAATACTCCTGTAGTATTTTATACCGTTATTTATGACACAGTGAAGTGAAAATTACTAAGGCAACAGTCGATGGAAGCTGTAGTGGAAATTACACATCGTGTAGAAAGCCTGGCGCGCTCAGATCTGATACACTTAATATTTTAATTCCATAAGTATCGAGCTTTGTACTAACACGAACCATACGGCATGACACAGGATATAATTATGTAATTTAAATCAGAACCTTGTATCATTTTCCTGTTGAAATGTCAAATAAAGTTAATGAAATTAGTCTGAGCAAACATAGGCCATAATCGAGTCATTTTCGCTCTATTTTGGAGTAAATATGTGCTTTTCACAGCGAGAAAATGTTGCGTTTACTCTCAAAACACCGTTTCCTCACATCTTTTAGTAGGAATTTATTAAATGACAACGTTCACGCGAAATTGTCATAAATTTGGCAGTGTTAAAGATTGCCTTTTTATTGCTTTTGTTGGGTTGAAGAAGAAAACATAGACCGTCATCTTCACACCTCGCTACAATTCTCTGAAGTACGTCTTTAACTAGTTAGAATCTATTGATTCGTTCGGCAACACTTGGCGTTCGTCCCACGCTCTGTCCATTTTTGACTCTTATTTCGAGAGCCAAGAAGACAAAAAGATATTAAAAACAAGTGGTTTTACAAGAAAGTGGCCGTTTTAATTAATTTATCGTTATGTATGATACTGTATTCACATTGTCTTGACTTCCTTTAAAGGCAATTTCCGTTATATAACTATTTGTATCACAAGTGAAAACAAAGCTTGGAGCTAAATATTTGCATTTACAAAAATCATTTGCATTGGTGGCAGACTCCTCCCTGAGCTGATCATAAACTACGAGCAATAATAATCGGATTTAGCCGCATACGGCGCAACAAAACTACTATGCGCTCGCTTCTTTGGCATCCAATTATGCCGCAAATCTCGTAAGATAAATAGAACGGTTTTTTTTACTGGGTGAGTTGAAATGGACATTCGGTCATACGAGGTCAGCAGAGTTGAAACAAAGTTTCAGACCATGATCGTGTAAAACAATACGGCTGAGCTCTCGATCAACAGCTGGGAATGCGCTGTTTAACTTAATCAAACCGTGTTGAGTAGTTTAATTGATTGGCACACATGCTCAAATCCTGCCTATATTCCATGAACCCTAATGACTATTAAATGTACTTCCCTAATATATCATGTTAATTCTAGGAAATCGTGGAAGACTTATTATATAGACATATGGGCCGCCAATATATCTCTCCATCAACATCCTTGGTTGATTTTCCGACTATAGAGTCAATGGGGAGTTTGTTTCCTGCTTAGTGCTGTGCGTGCAAGGAATTAGCGGCACATTTTAACAAAACGGGACCTTTATTAGCGGTGATTGGAAAAGGCTATTTTCTATGTTTTATAATAATCAACTCCGCGCTTACAGTGTTTAATGCTTCGCTAATTTACCACGCATTGTTTTGATGATTACCGAATAGCTTCGAGTTAAAAATGTATCAATCCCAAACCAAAAGAGAGTCCTGAGATATTGTGTGAGAGAGTCAGGGAGTCTGGGAGCCACGGCGAGTTGACGCGCCGCGAATGAGCTACAATAGTTAGTCCCATTGTTCAACTCGGTATCTGATATTCACTCACAATGAGTCCATCTTATCATTTTTTGTTTGCTTGATAACTTTGATATCCATATTAACGAACAACAGACGCGAAATGATTATCAATAATTCGCACAATGTATCGAGTAAATAAAAACTATAATTAAAATCGAAATGTAGTGACATATGGAACCATGGACCCCTTTCTCTGACCAACGCCCTTAAGCATACGGCTGTTTTACTTTCCCTAATTAATCGCTCGAACTTTGGCACATAAAACGATTGAGATTGTCCGATAACAGTATATCAAAAGTACCAATCTTTATTGTTCAACCATGGGAAGGATGACATGCAGTAAGAATAAACTAATAAAAAAAAAAAAAACATCGAAATTCGATATACTCAAAATAATCTAAAAATGTCTATGTTACTAACATCTATTTTACTAACAATTTTCTTTCTTTTATTTCAGATAATTCGAAATATCTGGAATTGGCATTTACTACACAATTTTTAAATAATTAGATAAATAGATATTTTTGAATGCAATTTTTGAGTGTAAATTTAAAAAAAAAAACGGATTTTATGTGTAGGTATAGGAATTTCTAATAACGTATAATTTGTATTAAAAAAATAAAACTTTGATTATTTTTTAAAATTGGAAGTTTGTCGCTCAGATAAATGAAACTTTTTTACGATCATGAAATCTGTCAATGCACCAGAGGATCTTAAATTTTGTCATTTTTTTAAATTTCATACTGATTTAATTGAAATAAAAGCAAAAAAATTTACAAGGGTACTGGAATTTGGGACGTTCCATGCCCCAAAACATTATAAAATTGCAAATTTGGTTCTTAAAGTTCCGATTACAAAAAACAAGGTCCTACAAATAAATCGAAAATAAAAGAAAATAGTTTTTAGATAAGATCGTTGTCTTTCACTATAATTGCACAGTTTTAGAAACGTAAACTAAGATTAAATCATGAAAAAAATAATTCTGAAATTTCTGAGCAGAAAACAAAAGAAATTAAGTCGCCTGCCATGGGTTGTTTGAATCCCCATTTGAGTTTCTAAGGAACGCTTATCGAAGTTTCAATAATTGTAAAAAACATTAATAACAAAACATAGTTAATACTTGCTGAACTATAAGAAAATAAAGAGAAACTAGTGTTTTTATATATCTAGCCAAAATATAAACTAAAAAGTTGTATGGTCAGTTCTAGAACGCTGGCGAAGTAGAGCAAAGGGAACCGACTCAACAAGAAAACACCGCGCTGGCGCCATTCGACCATGTCGATACAATTAGTGTATCAACCGAATTATATAAACTAATTAAGGTTATACTGTTTAAGGCATCTGTTGCAATTGTTATTAAAGCATGGGTGATGAGAAATGTCAATAAAAATTACTACTAAAAACTGACTCTAAACATTTCAAAACAGCGACACACCATTTGTGATATCACAATGTGCCGTTATATTGCCTCAGGGTTTTTCGGGTTTCCTGTGGATTTTGACCGAACCTTGAGCCCAGAGTCTCTCTAGTCATGTCAGCGGTATGCTGGAAAGATTTCCGCGTGGAAGTTTGATGATTTACTCAGAAACGGCTCAGAATAAAAGTTTAAATGTGGTCTTATTTTAAATGGCTTGTTTGTTAGTTAAATAGCCATTTGTTTCTGATATGTTTTGCAATGATGCCAAGACAACACCGATAAGGTGAAGCTACATTTGAATCTATTCCCAGTCATCAGTACAAAATACTCTTGACTTGGTGTTCGTATAATTGTGTCAATCGCTCAAAACGAAATTTTGCATTTGTCCTCTTTTACAATTTACGACAATCCAAGACCGTAGTTTTGGGGCTGTTGGGGCCTTTCGAGGGCCTTATATGAAGACTTACTACCTCAAAGCCTTTGGCTTTTGCGAAGTCAAAATTTGCTATAAGATTATGTTGTAAGGCGTTCGCTCGCGATTAGATTATCGGAAAAAGACTTATGTTTCTACTAACAAACAACTATTCATTATTGATATATATTTTCACTTAAATTACCTTTAAGGTATTATTTGTACAAATTCTACCCTGCATAATTCAAAAGCAGCGTTAATATGAAAAAACACGCACACAATAACACCCAATGCGCACATAGATTTTCACTGAGTCAGTTTTTTTTTATAGTTTTGGATATCGCTCCGTCATTAACGTTTGCATGTATGTGGAAAAGTAGAGTGGTAAAATCAGAATACTGAGTAGAGGTGAAATATGATAATAATATGCGTGATAATAATGAGTGATGATTACAGTAAACCCTCACTATTGGCCGATCCCGATTCATTGTCCTACCTCCCTAGTTACTGTTGCTACGTCGGACAAGCGAAAATATTCCTTTGATATAGAGCATGGAAAAGATACAGATTTCTACGATATGTAGGAGCTTGCCTTGTGTGACATGTTTTTTACATTTTGATCAGGAAAATCTAATAAATTTAGTAAAAATATATTCGATTTTGTGTATGTTGCTCGGACAGTTTCAATTGCACTGGGAAAACGGTGAATTACTGAGTGACGTACAGAAGCTATATCGACTGCTGTTGGTGATGTATTTCACTAGTGATTTGTAAAAATGAAAAATTCAAAGTTCTAAGGAAAACGTTCGTCACAAATCGTATCCAGCCTTTAGTATACTTGATGATAATCTTTTTAAATATCTTTTATCTATGCAAGATGATTCAATAACAAAATTATTTGCTAAATATTGTTTTGAAATATTAAGTATTTACAGTGATGACCTATAATGGTCATTAATACAAAAATCATTGAAATATTTGGTATATCACTTGTTTCTATAGCATATAAATATAATTCCTTTATTTACAGAATTATAGTTTATAGTTTCAGATTGTATCCCATATGTATTAATTTGGTATTGGAAAGATATTATTGTTATTTTTATCGATCAGTAAAAGACCCTTTTGATGGAGCTCCTTCTGGGTCACAAAACAATGGATTCTAACGCCTAAAAGAGGGCAAAACTTCCGTGTTTTGTCCCCAAGAGGAAGTTGCTGCTTGTCGCCACATGCAGCTTTGCCAGCACACGCCAAGACAAGTTGATAGTTATCACTATAATGCAATAAGCTGTTGTTTTCTGTTCTAATTTGTAAAAACGTCTGCGCGATTAGAAATGTTTTTCGATTATGTTCATAATAATGCACATTAATTGCAATCATTACTACAGCAAAACAACAACAAATGCAACAAAATGCATTGTAAGCGAGGCAAAGTTCCACGTTTCATTCATTTCTTTATATTTTTGATTTGAGGTAAATTAATTAGCTTCTATACGTAATAGCGACAACCTTGGTATCTGTATGGCGAGAGTTGACTATATATCGAATTCAGATTATGATCTGCGACGATACAGATCACTTTAATTATAAAAACGTTATATTAGCCCTCGGCTATCTTCTAAACGTTTCCTTTCTTTGCCCAACTGAGTCTTTCCCACGATGGCGTGTCGTCGCAATCACTAGACATGAATCCTTAGACCCATAAGAAATAATTAATTCTAGGGTTATTTGATGTTTTAGAACTTTAAAATTAAACTATCAAAAAATTTAGTAGCCACGTAAGAGCTGCAAGAGACTGCAAAAAAATTCCCTCCCCCTCCCATAAAAAATGGAGAAATAGGAAAAGGCCTAGGGATCAAAGTTGTGAAAATATACGATCAGGTGTATACATTTTCAAGGATTTTGGTAACTAAAGCAACTGACTTCAAAGGCAACATATCCATCATGCTTCATATATGACTTTTTGGGCTTCCTGTGACATCATTACAAATTTCCAGTCTTATATCTCACGTCCAAACGTAACACAGGAAACCCAATCTGGACATTTTTCGAGGAGAAAAAATGTGTTTGTGTTACTGGTTATCAGAATAACCTACGAGAATATAAAACGCGAAATGTTCAATATAATGAATGTATTTACAAAATCAATGATATTGCGTGTGATGAGATATGATTATATATGAAATATTTACATAAGAAAGGTGAAATAAGTCAAATATACGTAGTGAACATCTTGACCTCAATTTACAGAAACAGCATCAAATACAGTCAACTCTCTCGTAAGCGACCACCTCGGGATCAGAAAAAAGTGGTCGCTTCCGAGATGGTCGCTTACGAGAAAGTTTTTTTTACAGAGTTTATATGAAAAACTGAACAAAACGGGAAATTTAAAAGGTGGTCGCTTACGGGAGATGGTCGCTTACTAGAGTGTTCGTTCAAAGAGAGTTAACTGTAATTCCAATATTTGATTTGTAGTAACCTAACTCTACAAATAGAGAAAATGACTGAAAATGATTAATGGTGAAATGCATGAATATGCATTCATTAAATACATGTTGAGCACAACCTGACCTCAATTTACAGATAAAAATCAAATAACCTAACTAACTCTACAAATTCCATTTTATGATTGAGAAAAAAACAACTCGTAATGCACTATTATCTACAAAGACTTTTGTTGTTAAAAATAGTCCAATAGCCTAATGTCAGTTATAAAGTAAAGATAGCCAATAAGAATGGGCGTGAGCTGTCCTGCGCAGTCCTACAAGTCATGTGACAATTGTAGAAATGCATAGACCCAAACAGTACCCCTCAGATGCTGATAATCTATAAATAGGATTTTCTGCAGGTGCGTCTGCTGAGCCAGGTTAAAGAGTACATTATTTACATCGGAATACCATTGACAAGAAGGACTTTAGCTGAACTGGCAGCATTCCGACTACTGACGGAGTAAAGCTGCGAAAGACAACAAACAGCATCAATGTAATGTTGATGGTTTGTGACTTTGTGCAGAAAGGGGGAATAGCTTGAGTTAATAAATAGTGAGTGCTTAACGATGATACAGTCAATACATTAACGTTGTTCAGTTGTACAGACATTAAGACAACAACAAAGTCATTTGAATATATCAAACCTTTGCAAGGTTATCAAACATAAGTCCGAAAGGTCTTTACAATGTCAATGCCATTTAATTCTCTAATTAACAGTTAATAATTGCCTTTGTTGTCTTTACCACTGAAAAACGTTAATTGGATTGACTGTATGAAGATTTGACATCTAATTATAGCATTTAGTGTCGTCAAAATGAAGCAAGTGCGGCAAAGCGCGTACACCATAGAATCGTAGACAACCATACAAATTTCAAAACTTTTTTTGAATCAAGGACTAAAATCCTACGATATGTCGTAACCATGACGCATACACATGTTTAGAAGTCGCGTGCGACAAATCGTATCGTTTAAATCGGTCTTAAAAGAATCGATTAATATATTCACTAGTGTCATACCTTTCTCCCTTTCTTGTGCATACCATAAACAAACGTGGGATATTTATACATCGCATGGGCGTACATGGCTTCACGGAACTCCTGGGCAACTGCATTCTGGGCCCATTCTGCCCTCTTTAGTGAAACATTTTTCTAAAAAGGGTAAAAAAGAACATTAAAACTTAGAATTACACGTGATTTAAAGTCTGGTCATCATAGTGATTTATAATATAGATGTGATATTTACGAACGCTCTGATTGGTCCAAGAGAGTTATTTATTTGGCGGTAAATAACGCTCGCGAACATGACTAACTTTAAATATCATAAAAGTACTCAAAAACATTTTTACGTCTTGTGACAAGATAAGTAACGGCCTAGGCCTATGATTGTTTCGATCGTCCTAAACGAGTATATCATTCTTAACAAAAGGCAAACAAGTCAAAGCAAACGCAACATGCAAATGCAAAAAAAAAAAGCATTTTGTAATCTGGTAGAATTTCGGGAATTTAGTTAACTGATAGAGCTAGTTTCAACTAAAAATCGAGCTTATTTAGTCTAATATACATAGATGCTTTATTCCCATTTAAATGTGTATGTGTGCATATGGAGTCACATATATATAGCTAGTATTTTTAGAATCAGTTAAAAAGTCAGGCGTACACTGAATAGTTGTAAAATGTCATTCAATAAAGATATTTCAATAGAGCTACTCGTTGAAATATTTCATAGCTAAACGCTTTTTCTCCTGCACATTGCGGAACGGAACTGCACGATAAAATTCAGTACGCTGGCTCCTCAACCGGGGAATACCCGGGAGTGGGGGGGGATAGAGTGTCATCACAGCAGAGGGGGAATTTAGTTAACTGATAGAGCTAATTTCAACTAAAAATCGAGCTTATTTAGTTGTAAAATGTCATTCAATAAAGATATTTCAATAGAGCTACTCGTTGAAATATTTCGTAGCTAAACGCTTTTTCTCCTGCACATTGCGGAACGGAACTGCACGATAAAATTCAGTACGCTGGCTCCTCAACCGGGGGATACCCGGGAGTGGGGGGGATAGAGTGTCATCACAGCAGAGGGGGTATGATCTCCGAAAATTTTCAAAAAATACCCCCAATAAGAGATTTTTACCCATTGCACTACCCAGAATATGTTGTAAATCGATATTTGATCAGGTAATAATTACATCCAAATTGCTTCCTTAGGTGTATTTTACTAAATTTCAATTCAACTAGCATGGCACTTGCCTTGTAAAAGTAGTCAGTTTGACAGATAGCGATCCTGATAGTTTCATTTATAGAAACAGATGTTAGACCGCGATCAAATGTGTTTGTGATTCTTTACCAAACGGGGATTATTGAAACATTTAGCTGTCATTACCTTGTTTTGAACGCGGTATATCACGATGAATATATCCATTGTGCCTAAGCTTGCCTAAGAATCTAACGAAATTGTTACATTCTGAAGTCCTACCCAAAAAGGTACAAATAATTCTTAGTGCAATATGGAAACACTTAATTCAGATCTTCTACAATTCCATAGTATTATGGCATCAGAATATTCTAATGTAACATCTGTTCATGGTGCCATTCAAGGCCATTTCGCAAGATCAATAAAAGTACTCTTCGTCATCAGCTCCCTATTTTTTCACGAAATGCATTTGAACAACGAGTGTATTTTACTGCAATAACGAAAACTGCCTAGTGTAACAGCTTTTGGCTCAAAGGCGAGATAAGTTGCTATGAAAATTAGACCCCAGCAACATTATGCAATTTTCCTCAGCAAATGGAATATTTTTTTCCGATTTATATAWCCTTTTTCTATACGCATTTTCGTACCCAAACCATACTCTTTCCGCCTATCGTAAGCTCTTGCACACCCTATAAATCGAAAGCATGAAATCTTTGACAGGATCCTCCTTCTCAGTCTCAGTCCGAGTGGGTGGTATTCACTTCCTGATTCATACGAAACCTTCAGTCAGACACTTTGGATCGCAGGACTCTTATTGTGATAGATATTAAAAGTCCAGCTACATTTAGAAGTGGCTGAGTTTCTAGTGTGCTCAGCTCATGATCGATATTTGCTGCGATGTATGAAAGGTGTTTTTCGAGTCGGACGAGTCTCATATATGCAAGAAAAATAATGAATGTTTTACTTGCTAGTGTTTCTTTGTCTTTGACCTTCTATCTTTAAGCTGGTCATCATTGCGTTGACCAATAAAAGTATATAAAAACAAACTCTATATGCTACTTGATTTACTTTGAATTGTTGTACATGTGCATTCAAAAAAACTGCCTTGTGAAACAGCTGCCTGAGGAGCTTATCCATGTATTTGCATATAACCCTCATAAACATCAAACTATCCGATGATGCTATGTCAAATACTCGGCATCCACAAACATAAGCTAATAATTCAGTTAAAGCGCGTCATGAGAAATAAAATAATTATATTACAATTAAACAACGCAAATATGGTCTGTGCATAATTTTGAAAAAACTGACTTCTGTTGATGTAACAATTGAATAAACGAGTTATTGAGCATCAGCACGATAAATTGGTCAGCTTGGAAAAAAAAAACACTTAAAAACAATATTCCTTTGCCAGATAGAAAAGGAGAATTCAGAATTCACTGCTGAAAGACTTCTCAAAATTGCGAACGTCTTGAACAAGATACAAAAATAGAGACTAAACCTTCTTGCAAACTCGTCCACAACTGCCGAAATACCGCCAGGTATTGCAAAACATCTAACTAGTAACTTGAACTATATGTGAGGAAAAATCAAGTCAGTATAAAACACAAAGATGAACAACTCCACATTTGAAAAGCCATCAGAAATGGTCGACGCCCTTGTCTTCAATGTGTCAATGATCGTTATTAATGCTTTCAGTGGTCTCTTTGCGACTGTTTTGAACCTCTTGGTCATCATGACTTTTGTCAAGACGTCATCTTTACGAACACCTTCGAACATTCTTATTCTTAGTCTAGCCATCACTGACTTTGCTGTTGGTGCTTTGGTGCAGCCGGCTTACTGTACATGGCTTTATTCAATAATAACTAACAACACTACGGCTTTATTTTACAGTGCGTTTGTACTTTTATCAGGTGACATATTATTCTGGACATCGCTTTTGACAATAACTGCCATCACAGTCGACCGATTCCTTGCTCTCCATTTCAGTCTAAGATACCAAGAACTTGTTACAAAGAAGCGGACTTCGATAGTAGTTATAATGATTTGGATATTCAGTGCGTCACTGACTTGTCTACAATTTATAATTCAGATGATGGTAATTTGGCTAATAGCAGAGTTTTTATTTTTTCCCCTCTTTTTCGTAAACATTGCTCTGATGCTGAAAATATCTTCCATTATCAATCGACATGCAGCACAGATTCAACTTCAAGAGCAGGCAATGAACGCACAGCCTGGTGCAGCAGTGAACATTAAGAGATCTGTTAATATCATGTATTATATACTCGGAACATTTTTCCTGTGTTATTTCCCATGTATTTGCTTTAGTTTTATTGCCTCCTTTTCGACAATGTCGAAAATTGTCTGGTGGGTTGTATGGAACGTACTTATCACCATTCTCTTTATGAACAGCAGTATCACTCCAATCATATATTTCTGGAGAATACAAGACATGCGAAATGCTGCTCTTCAATTGCTCCCATTTATTCGAAGAAAAATCAATAACAATAACGTTGAAAATAATGATGGAAATGCTGAAAACGACGTCTACGKATTATAATATAACTAAAAATTGAGTCCAAGAACTAGTGAAAGCGCAAATGGCAAGCAGGCAACAGTATTTTGTTTGTAATTTGGAATTATTGTGTGATCTATGATTGAGTTACTGAGTGTAAAGGCAGTAATTTCGATAGTAAATCCTGTCTTAGTTAGGACTAGCGAGTCTTGATCTCAGTACGGAACTCTCACTTCCTAGGCGAGTTCTCTAGCCATAAAGCCACACTGAGTCTGGTTCTTCCAACAAAACAACTCCAATCCCAAAGATAAGCACAAAGCTTTTAACACAAATGTTGGGTGGAATCTTATGCAAGCGCAAAAATGCTACACAAGCATCAACTTATGGTATTTCTGTATTTGACTGAGCTCTTTATCTTCTTTGCAATACAAAAACGGGAAAACCCCCGACTAACTCCACTTACAATGTACAATGCGCAGACAGAATGCTTTCAAGACTGGAACTACTTTTTTCTGGTTGATACTTAATAACGACACAATGTCTTTCATTTTCAGTAACGCCTAGTCAGCGTAGCGACTCTTAGGGAGTGGCGGAGGGCCGCGCGAAGACTGGGGAGAACATATCCCCAATCTCCACGCGTCCCTTCCCAGTTCCCTTAGGGCCAGTACAAACTAAGGCTAATTTGACTCCAAAACTTGACCAAATGCAGCAGTTCCTAACTGCGAAAGGATATTACGTGTATCTTCACTCACCAGATCAGCTAATGGCAGAACCTTTCTGGATATTTCACCATCTTCCAAATCAAGACTATCCAATTCAATGTGTACTTGTCCTAAAGACATATGGTCACTAATATGAGACTTGCCAAAAACATGGAACAGCACCGCCCTGAAACAAACAAAAATATTCACTATTTAAAGTGGCTATGACGCCTGACAAAATAATTTCTGATTCTCTGTGAGCTCATTCTATATAACGTAAATAATTGAACAGTGAAATATTTCTGCATTTCAGTGTAGCGTCTTTGAGTTTTGAAGGTTTAATCTTTCAATATGCTAATGACAATGACATCAAGGGAGGCTTCATTAGATATACGAATTTTGAAACAGTCGCTCAAAAATATTTCCATGAACGCCATCTGGGAATATGGCTATTATTCTCTACATTGCATAAGATAATTTTTAATGCCATGGAACCATTTTTAAGCGACTCCTTCAAAGTTTTTATATCTAATGAAGCCTTCTTTGACGTCATTTTCATTAACATATTGTAAGATTGAACCTTTATAACTCAAAGACGCAACACTGAAATGCAGGAATATTTCACCATTCAATTATTTACTTCATATAAAATGAGCTCACAGAGAATCAGAATTTTTTTTCAGGCGTCATAGCCACTTTAATGTTTATTGTATAACATGACAAGGGCAGATTAGGGGGTTAGTGCTAGTGTGCAAATTATGGCTATTCAAACAGAAAGAGCAGGAAATAGAATTGGCAAAGTGCTTCCAGGTGTATCATCCCCAGAGCAAGTCAGAGTATCCAGAAAGGTCTGATTGTGACATTCCCCTCACTTCGTTTAACAAAATGGAAATTATCAAAAAAAAATCAAAAGTTCTTTTTGCTGTCAACTAATCAGAAAACTAGCATTTTTAAAATGCACTGTATGGTGTCACATTGTAATGTAGGTATATCATTTTAATAATACTTATAAAACTTATTAATAATGCATAAGCTATTGCTCCAATAAGGGCTGACCATTTAATCAGGTGATTGACCTTGTAAATCTGATACAACCACTAGTGGTTGTATCAGATTTACAACACGGTCGTCACCATTGAGACAACCCAACACTAGCAAAGGTCTCAGTTTTAGTGTCGCATCATAGACCTTCACTAGGTTTTGAAGCAATCAAAGACGGATAACAGAACTCGCTTATGCAACAGATGGCTTGCTTGCCATGTGGGATGGATAATTATTCAAAATGTTCTGTGTTGCAGTAAATTGCGCATGCTTAATAAGGACTAAACTCAGCAGTTACCTTATTTGTCATTTTTCGTCATTTATCTCACTATAATTCATGTTAATTTGTGTTGGAGTTTTATAAGTCGTTTACAACATTCGCGTCCGTGTTGTATGGGAATTACAATCTCTCGCCTGCGGCTRGAGATAGTAATTCCCATACAACACGGCCGCTCATGTTGTAAACTATACTTAAAGTAGAGTAAGCTGTAGAAGAAGGCAACGTTTTTAGATACAGTACCTTGATGGTATTTCCTCCTTTGCCATGTCAAATTCAAATGTCTCTTCAAAAACAGGATGGAGTGTTCCACTTACTACCTTTTTAAGCAAAACAGTTACATCAATCCATCAATAAAGTCATCATTTTTCATGAAAAAATATTCAGCTACTTTATTTAAGTTAGCCACTAGGACTCAACCAGTTTGTTGATGGTTCATGAAACACTCGCCTTTAAGATTTGTGAATGGTTCATGAAACTTGAAAAGCTTTATATACATATATAAATCTTGTAAGAGTGTTAACAGGTTCCAATTCTTTTGAGTTACTGTATACATAAAATTCTTGTCAGAGTAAATATCTAACTTACTCTAAGATGAGAATTAGACAGAATTGGTAAGGCTCAATCATAAATGCCCTTCCCAACACAGAAAAATATTTCCCAACAGGGGGAGGGCCAGGAAGGGATGTATACAAGATTGACACCAAATTTGCATCACAATTTAAAAAAAAATACTTAAAGTCTTGTTTTTGTTTTGATTTCATGACTTGTGTAACATCAACATGACACAGTGTTGGCAGTCAATCCTGCTTAATGAGATTGTGACATCTCAAATACTACAAAATGTACATACTGCTGTTTCTTCACTGTATTTCAGTCCAGACACAGAGCACCTGACGTAAGCATCTGATGTATTGGATAAGGTGTTGGATGCCTTTAAATTAGCTGCACTGTTGATAGTCACTAGTAGCATGTTCTCAGAGTCTTGGTGTTCTAAGGTGACGTCTAGTGTTCCTGTGATGCTGAAGTCAGTCTTAAAATGAAAGATAATATAATTAGGATTATGCTAGTGTAAGCTGAGTCAGTATCAATAATAAATTACCCTGGTTAAAGTGGCATTAATCCCATTAATTATTTATATCTGATTAACAAAACCATCTTGATGCTTAGTGACTCAAAAGCAAAAAAAAATACTTAATGGAATACAAGCCTAGCCTCAGCTGGAACTAGGGTTACGTAGCAAAAGAAAGCCAAACTCCACATTATGAAACTGTATTCTGAAATGCTCATTTTTTGATTCACATACCTGTAGTTGCAACATATACCAATCAGTATGTGTGCCAGCACTAAGATAAACCCTTGATAAGTCTATCACAGCTTCACCATTAAAATCATCTTCACCAAAGAAATCATGGTCCCATATTGTTGCCTTTAGTTTGGTCGTTGATAAATGGGCATGTGGTAGCTTGAATTGAAAGATTTCATTGAACACAGGGTTAAGTGTTTTTTGCTTGAATCTTGTCTTCTTTGAACCCTCTTCAAACCTATATTTTGAATTAACATCTTAATATGGTGATATACATGTATATTACTTTTATTACCAAGTTTAACTTTGAAACATTTTGAGCAATCTAGGATTAATCAATCATATAACAAGAACGAGCATGGTAATAGAGTGTGAAAGTGTTAAAGAGTGTGAGCATGTTTTCAAAACAAAGAAAATAGAGAATCAATGGTCTTTGGAGCAGTATCACCTATCCGTCCCCAAAAAAACACTGTGCTCCTCTCCCTCCCTTCAAAAAAAATAAAATAAAATAGACAATAAAAAAAATCACAATTAAAGTTAAACTAATGAATTTACATTACTTGCCTGTCAGGTACAATATCCAGCACGACATATGGATCAGACTTTCCATTTAAATCCCTGGCTACCAAGTCTCTTGCACGGATCACCTTAACCAATAAGAGCTCTTCCTTCTGGTTATACTTTAGAGAAAGCTCAATATCTCCCTTGATATCACCACTGTCTGCTTGTGTTACTGCAGGGTCCATACGTTTGAACATTTCTTTGATAAGATCAGTACTTGCCAGCTATGCAATGACAATAATTCAGGATAAAGGACTGTTTTTGAGTGGATTTTTTATTTAGGGTAGTTTAAAAATTATCAAAATTCAAAATACAAATTATATATCAAAGATACATGTAATACCAATACAATGTAGGCTTGTTTACATAATGACAGTATGCAACTTAGCATTCAGGACAGAAATTGTACCATGTATAACTAGGCAAAATTTGTATTCATGATATTAATACAACTACTAGAATGCCTTGTGTGGAGTTTCTTTGTTATTCAGGATTTTTTAATACCTTTGGAGTAAAAACTAGGACTAATTACATTGGATGAAAGTGGGCAAAGCATTTTGGTAGTTGTTGCATGATGGCCTGGATGAGTCATGTACAAGCCAACATGTCAAGTTGTATGTGTCAAGTGACATCCGTAAATTGCCCTACTGTCATTGGCCTTTTTTTGTCTACCCATTCCCCTATCAAAAATCAACATGCAATTGGTACTATTATCAAAATCTTATTTGACTTTAAAATACCTTATTGAATATAAATAAGCTTACATGTAAATGTATAATATAAAGTTTTGAACAATACTCAAATATACCCAAAACATAGTTAGAGGGGACAGTCGCCTCTATTAACTATGCCCAAATATAGTACTGTAAACCTGTACATATACACCCTTAAGTACAGTATCATCCATTCCCTCAAGATTATATTCTATGGAGCAGATGAATACAAATCCAATATGAAACAGTGTGTCTGTGTGTGTAGACAGTTTGCTTACAATATCTAACTTTTATACAGTGGCCAGTTTTGCACCATCATGCAGTGGAATTGTGACACATAAATTTACTATTTCCACAAATTACCTCTTTCTGAAAACATGCTGTATTCTTTTTCTTGTTTTTCATAAACTTATTCTTGGCTTCCATAAGTTTGGCCATTCCCGCCATGTCAGTCACAAGAGAATCATCATTCGACTGTTGCTGGTTTGAATTATCGGCATTTTCCCACTGCTGCCGCGAAACGCTGGCTCCAGCTCCCATTGTAAATGTGATTGACTATTTTAGCAGCATTTTCAAATCATTTTCGTAAAAATGCGTGTAGTTGAAGAACTTTATTTACTTCACTACCGAGGAAGCCATCTTGAACCTTGGCAACTGTGGTGCAATGACGTCATGTGCATCGCGCTACACCTTATGGGAATAATAATCGCTATCATTTCGTGTTGAAAGTTTCCATACTTTTTCTCTTTTAAACTTAAGAAAATATATTTTTCATAAAAAAGATATTTTCCAGTCATTCACAATTTTCTTTATATGTTTTTATTCTTTCTTTATTATCATTTTTCGTAAAATAATTAAAGAAAATTGTTCAAAGTCAAGCTAACTACCATTGAAAGTTTCTACGTTCGAAAGCAAAAGATTTCTTGATACTTTTTTACTTTCCCGATATGTTTTGACTCAAATACTTCACATGACGTCACGTTTTAAGCATTTCGCAGAGATTTACGTCATTCATCCCACTCACCGGAAGCAAATATGTACATGAGAACGAGGTCTATACGTGGCGCGCTTGCGCAACTCCTGAGCATCCGGGGCTTGAAAGAACTAAAGTACGCGTGTAAAGTCCAAGAACACTGAATTTCTTCCAACTTTTCAGACATTTTTTATATAAATATAGGGATAATTCTTCTAAATTAGGTAAGTATATATATTATATTTTATCTTCAATTGTTCTCCCGTAAAGATATTGTCATATAAGCTTGTCTAACTGTTAAATTACTTTCCGTCGCTGACTGGCATTTCATTACGTGTCCAATGGAAGGAACCGGCGAAATGGGTGTTTGAAATATTTTTATCGAATTGTAGACTTCTGAAGTCCAAGATCATGTTCATAGATTTCTTTGTCATAAGACAGTTTTCTCCTGAACGCTCATATTACATGCTAAGCGTTGCCCAAACTATTTTAGGGTGGATTGATTGAAAAAAATGTCACGTCACAAAATTTCTCGTCACAAACGTTTCTCTACCTTTGAGTATTAAGTTTCTTATCGTATACACAGTGAAGTTTTTTTGAATCCAAAATGATGATATAATAAGCTAGACGAGATCAATTTAAAACTACCCTGAAGATTTCAAAACATAGACAGTTAGCGATTATGGCCATTTTCCAAGATATCCTCTGTGATGAAATGCCCAATCATTTGATCATTTGCATTTAACTTAATATTGACTTTGGCTTGATTTCTTGTAGATTTAACTGCAAGATGTTTTTGTGGGATTGGTTTACTGGTGTTCTGGGATACTTAGGTCAGTTATTCATTTTGTTTTCTTGGCAACTTGAGAACCTGTTGTAAATCCAGTCATGTGCTATATTTGTATGCCCTTGTGGACTATTATCAGGAATCCAGCAGTCTGATTGAGTATTGAACTCTGGTCTATTTGTGATAGTCCATGGAGGCATTCAAAAATATTGAAAAAGTTGTTTTTTGCATTTTATCATTTTAAATTTATCTTATAATTTGATAAAGACTAAAACAATTAGACCTCTTGGTCTTGTGGACAAAATCATGGTGTGTTTGAGCATAGATGATATTATTTTCTGTGTTTTAATTCTCAGTTTGAAACATGCAAGGTTGTTGGGAGAACACAAGACAAGTTTTGAATCGATAACAGGCTGAAGCCTAGTGATTCGAAACACCTCTTAGTGTTCTCATTACAATTGCAAGTGTCTCTAACAGAGAATGGAAACACAGGAAATATTTTCCAATGCTTTCATAAAATACCAATAACTCTTCACTCAAATGCCATCTATGCTCTCATTGAAACGCTTTTTTTTTGAAGACTTCAACCAATTAATGCATCTTTTATGTAATAGTTATTCTATAAAAACTTGTAGTTCAATCTACATGTATCTGGTATGACAGTATTTCTGAAAGCTACTCTTGAGAACCCTGCATTTTCTATTTACACTATAGCTGTGTTGCAAGTTATGTGTTCTCTTTAGCAACGTCTGAGATTTCACTCTGTGTTAAATCACTTGGCAAGTGCACTGTACTCCAAACTCCTGTCAACAATCCATTTGAGTCAAAATTTTGACAAGAAAGTTATTAGAAACAAGATTAATGCACAAGAATTGTCTTAAATGTAATGCTGTTTATTTTATTTTAAAAACAGGATTGTATAAAAAGTCAGGCAAATTAGTCTTCCTTGGTTTAGATAATGCTGGAAAGACAACATTACTTCACATGTTAAAAGATGATCGCATGGCACAACATGTACCTACACTACATCCTAGTAAGTCAAAATTTATGTCCATACAAAATACATTGTCAATGGATAATGTTAAAAACACTTTGTATGACTTGGCACTCATTTGAGTTATATTTAAGCAATAAAGTTTGAATTGCTATGCGTTAAAATCTGTCATGCGTAAAATCTGTATCTCCAGGCAACCATGTAATATTCTTTTATCATATAATTATTTATGAATTAAGCAAATTATGTAATGAAATAACCTTCATTTTCCTCCAATTTAAGGAGCGTTTTTAAGTTTTTCTATTTGGTCAGTAAGAATTCACTGTACATGTATTTGTTAAATAATTTCAGAATTGTACAAATTAGTACTAAATTGTTTAATGTTGGAAAATTGTTCAGTGTTAGTAAAACACATCATTTTTGTGTAGCTTCTGAAGAGCTTGCTATTGGTGGAATGAGATTTACAACCTTTGACTTGGGTGGTCATAGACAAGCAAGACGGATATGGAAAGACTATTTCCCTGCTGTCAATGGCATTGTCTTTATTATTGACTGTGCAGATTTTGAACGAATTGAAGAATCAAAACGGGAATTAGATGTAAGTATCACTACTAGTTCACAATGCTCACAAGATTGTCAAAGGGATCATGTATATTCAGAAAATATTAAACTAGTTTAGATTGAGAGGGCTAGTTACAATACTAGTGTTGTATCTGGACTTGCTTGGCCAATCACTTGACCAAATCTTATTATGCACAGGTCAGGTCCTGATAAAAAATATTACAAGTGGTTTGTGTTATGCAAAATACAGCACTTCTGTGCAGTCATGTATAATCAACATTAACAATCCTTATCATTAATAATACATGTAAATAGCTTTTTTATTTTATTCTATTTTTGAATATTTTTGAATTTTACAATAGCATTTACAAGAAATCTGATGGTATTCTTTTATCATTATCAAAGTATGATACATTATTATTAATATCATGATTTAACAATGGTCATATTGTTTATGACACAGAGCCTCTTGGCTGATGAACAATTATCACACTGTCCTGTTCTTATCCTGGGCAATAAAATCGACCTTCCTGGTGCTTACAGTGAGGACAATATTAGACAATATTTTGGTCTTTATGGTCAGACAACTGGCACGGTAAGTAGATCTTCTGAATCATTTTGTGCTGTTTTTATGTCCCCTGCAGCATTTCACTTGATTGGAAAGTGGAGGCTGTGCTTCACAAAGGTGCTTTTAAAACTATCTTAATAACCCTCTGTAGATATTTTAGTGGGGCAGCTAGGAAGGCAGTAAATTGTCCTTTTGTTTCCTGGAGACTTTTCAGTTTTTTTTTACCATGATCATTTTCAACCAAAATATCAAAATTGGGTTTTTGGTTTTACATTATCTAAATTGTCCTTACAGGGTAATGTATCTACTAAAGAACTTGGCACCAGACCAATGGAACTGTTTATGTGCAGTGTTCTTAAACGCCAAGGATATGGAGAAGGTAATTTATTGAGAAGATTTTACAAGGAAATATATAGGGGTCTACAAAACCTGAGACTTTAAAGACCCAGTTTGCACCATTATGCTTTGCGAGCAACTGTTATTGTTATGATTTACACCAAAATACTTCTAGTATCCAAATATCACCATAAAACGAAGTAAGATGGTTGAAAATTCTAATATTATTGTTTAAAGTGCTTAGAAAAGTGAGATGGTCAAAGTTTCAAAATGCACAGTACAATTTGTAGACTTTCAGTAAACTGAAAATGGCCGCCAGAGGGCCCCAAAGCATAATGGTGCACACTGGGCCTTTAATGAAGTTACTATGTTTTACTGTATCTGTGTCCTTTTGTCAATTTTTATTATTATGGCGTCGCTACCAGTGAGGCATCGTGTGTTGTCAGTGTCAAGATCAAGGCCAATAATACACATGGAATGAATTGCTCTGGAAATCATTGAACTAGGATTGACTTCACCCTGAAAATGCTAAATGCTACTTTACTCGACACAGAAATTGTAGAGTTTCAATATAGACAAATATCACACTAGTGTGGATGTTACAATACAAATGATTTATTGAAAAAGAAATCTAGCGTTGATTTTGTCTCATCAATGATGATTTTTTGTAAAGAACTCTAATGAGTTTCATTTTCATGACAAAATTGCAAAGACTGCAAAGCTTTAAAAATTCTTATTTAAAAGCATTATTTTTGAAAATTAAATCTTTATGATTAATTTCATATCTATCAAGTATTTCAAAATGTCATCATTTGAGCGTGTTAACGTTGTATTGAAGTTCATTTGTGTTTTTTAAGTTGTTCAAACTTTCCTTTTTTCTACCATTGGTAAAGTGTAATTGAAGTACAGTATGATAGTGAAATATTAATGATAATGTCCTTTGATTTACAGGATTCAGATGGCTTTCGCAGTACATATAAACAGAGACTGTACCTTGAAGTAGGCTTCTTTTGATAGGATATGTACAAATGAATAAATAATGCACAAACATCCTGCTCAAGAGCGTCATCTACAAGAACTACAATGGCGTTGTCATCATAACAAAAGACTATACACTGCAACAATATAATTATAGCATGCAGTCATATCAGAAGAAGGTTGTGGAAACTATTTGAAATCAAGATTAATAACAGATCAATTTGTATAATAAGAGGAATCTCAGAAGTGCTGATTCCACATTGTGAAATATTTCACTTGTAGTTATTAGTAAATGCCAGGCTTTCTTTAACTTTTGGACAAGGTGTATTTTGATCGAGTGATTTTGTATGAATAATGATGAGTTGCAAAGGTTATGTTCACATAAGATTGCTTGAATTCTCATCTGGTCAGAAATTAATGTTTTGTTGTTTTTTTTTTTCCTTGTGTCCAAAACTGGACTATCTAGACTTAATGTTGTACCATTCTATGTGCTTAAGATACTCAAGATGGCTGGAACATTGATAGCTTTCTGCATCTGTAGACCAGTTGTGTGTGAAGATAGCCTTTGCTTGTTTGTTATGCAAGAACTTGTTAAATTGTACTCCACATCACTCGAGGGAAATATCCTTGTTTACCAAATTTAATATGATTGATGCGGAGCAATGTTTTCCTTGAGATTTGGGGATAATTTTTGGTTATTGTTATGCAATGTTAAGAAGCTAAGAAAGCCTGACTTTTGTTCAAATTAGATTATGCACTATATTAGAGTACAAACAGTAAAACTGCATAGCACTTTACAAAATCATAATACTTTTAATTTATAGCAAACAAAATAACTTTTCATTTTAATGATTATTTCAAGCTGCATAGTTTTTGTTTGTACTCATATTACAAGGTTGTGACATGGTGTATCAGCCTGTTTCAAAATAGATTTTTTGTTGTTGTTCGTGATAAAATGGCAAGACATGGATTTTGCTAATTGATAAAAAATAACTGATTTATACTTTAAGCTTGTCTGTGGTAAACATTGGCTGCATTTTCAATCAAAGTGAACCAAAAACCAAAGTGGAATTCCTCATGTCAAGCAGTGTAACCAGTGCCTTTTGGTTATGCAATGTCCCTTTGACAACTGTTGTTCTAAATAGGGGTATGTTTATACTGACTCTGATCCCAAATTGATCTCCCTGATCCAACAAGAATTTACTGATCCAGTATACTCAGATTTTCACATAGATCCAGTTCGGGTTGTTCAAAGTCCGATTAGTGATAATCCAGGGTTAACTAGCTTTTAGAAAACCTATCTATGGTGTTAACCCTGGATTAATGCTACTCTGGCTTTGAACAACCCAGCCCAGATTCCAATAACTTTGAACATGATCGCAAAGCTAAGATCCAGATCTCAGAATAATGCTGATAATGCTAACCCCATATACATGTACCATGTCATGACCCTGTTATTGTGAATGCTTTATTAAAGTAGATATCAAAATAAATTTTCAAGTTTAGGGACTGTTTGTTAATTGTTGTCAACAGGGGTGAGTCCATTTGATGAAGCAAGTCAAAAATGTACCCCCTTCATTGGCAAAAATTACAGATTATACCTGAAAGAAAAATGTACCTCGACAGTTTTTTTCTGAAAAATGTCCCCCCTATCTAAACACTGACCCCTTGTGGCGAAAATTGACTAACAGTCCCATATATTGTTTTGAGTAAATCTACCTTGTAATAATATTATAGGTTGATTTACTAATTGTATTAAAGTCTTGGTTCTTACAAGTATTCGTTAGAATTTCTAGTAAAATTAATAGTAGAATTCTATTTGTTGCAGTGAATTACTAAAAAAACCTTAGAATAGTAAAGATGAAGTCAAAAATAAATTTGTAAAGCAGAGAGTGACGTGAAGATCCATAATGGAGTGAACGCATTTAATTATCCGTAAAACTGTGTAAAAATCAAAAGAGGACAAAATTGTGCTAAATCTCTCACTGAAGCAGAAATGACTTTGAATCCCCATTGATTTTTACGCACACAATTTCTAAGTTGCACAAAATCGTACAAAGAGGTTAATTAAATTTCACGGATTACAGTACTGCCCATAGGCCACCCAACTATTGCTTGAGAGAAGAAAAGAACGCTTTTACCCTGTGGTACTGATACTTATCGGCGCGCGATTTTAGCTAAACGCGGGTTACCTGTGGTATTACGTCAGTGACTATGATCTTGCGCGCAAATTGTGATTACTTCATGTACACGTGAACTTGTTTTAAACGATCTCTTTTGACACAATAAAACCAAGACTTTCAATAAAACATGTTTTGTCTATTGAAAATGACAATATTTTATCAAAAAACAGGTTTTTTTCATACAATCAGTTTCTTTAAATCCTATTTCCTCTTTAACTTATCATTTGGGATTCCTGTGTATTTTAKTTATCCTGCGGTTTCCTGGTACAGCGGTGTATCCGCGCGTTCTAGTGACGTCATAATCGTTAATCAGATCACTCGCCTGGTATCTTCGATACAGTAAGGAGGTGAGTTTTACGTCTCCTTCATGAAATACCTATTGATCATTCTGAATGTATGAATTTCTTATATTTTTCAGATTTGTAACTTAAACTTCTTGWAACTCGATTTACACTTTTGATTCCGAACAATGGCTTCCGTTGGAGGAAAAAAGCATGTTAAAAGTAAGTATCAATTTTGATTGAAATATCTGACACGGTCACGTGATCATATCTATGATCATATTTTTCTAAAAGCGCTATTTTTGACTAACTTCAGCCAATGACGGACGACGACAAAGTCCAGAATCTGGACGACACAGTCCAAAATCGGTAAGTAAACTAGGAATATGGAAAATAGAACTTTTATAAAGCTGCAAAAGATAAAAAGATAAAAATAATCTATCAATAAACAATTTTCTCAAAGTAGATAGTTACTATTGGTAGGAAAATTGATTTTGTCACCAAATAAGTAGATATGTAGTTGTGCTTTAAAATGAAAAAAAAAAAANTTTTGGTAGTGAGCAAGTAATGTTCTGTTTTATTGTTTTTACTTACGAAGAAAATACAGGACAGTCTAAATGTTCGCGGTTCGCGGAACGGAAATATCACGAATTTCAATTCATTTATAGTTTTTTGCTTTTATTATTTTATTAATTAGAAAGATGTAAATGTAAAAGCATCAAAAAGAACAAAAACTGGTGTAAATATTGGTCTATATGTGCAATTTGTCTGTGAATGTCTTTTCAGTGCGTACGTTTTACAAATCTTGCACATCAAGAAATTCTAATTAGCAAACCATCTTCTTGTAGGGTCCCTGCACAGAATTCATTTGCGCTAGACTCAGCAAAGATTCTATTTGGGGTCATAATAGAGACAATTTCATATTACGCAAAAAATCAACTAATTTCTTCTCAGTCAAAGCTATCAAGTATTATTTTTACCCTAAAAATGAACTAGTTTTTTAATTCTATTCCATTTGATTTTTGCTTTTTACTTATTTTGTCCATCCAATCAGTTTTCTTTAAAACATTCTTTTTCCCAATTAACTTATAATTTGGGTTTCCTGTGCAACTTAATCCGCGCTTTCCTAGTACAGCGGTATTTCCGCGCGTTCTAATGACGTCATAATCGTTAATCAAATCACTCGCCTGGTATCTTCGATACAGTAAGGAGGTAAGTTTACGTCTTCTTCAGGAAATACCTATTGATCACACTGAATGCATAAATTTCTTTTATTTTTCAGATTTGTAACTTAAACTTCTTGTACGATTTACACTTTTGATTCCGAACAATGGCTTCCGTTGGAGGAAAAAAACATGTTAAAAGTAAGTATCGATTGTGATGGAAATATCTGACACGGTCACGTGATCATATTTATGATCGTATTTTTCTAAAAGCGCTGTTTTTAACTAACTTCAGCCAATGACGGACGACGACAAAGTCCAGAATCTGGACGACACAGTCCAAAATCGGTAAGTAAACTAGGAATATGGAAAATAGAACTGCAAAATAAGCAAAAGCTGCAAAAGATAACAAGATAAAGATAAACTATCAATAAACAATTTTCTCAAAGTAGATAGTTACTATTGGTAGGAAAATTGATTTTGTCACCAAATAAGTAGATATGTAGTTGTGCTTTAAAATGAAAAAAAAAAAACGAACAATTAAGTGTCCCAGGAAAAAATGCGGGAGCATTTGCAGTTATCATGTAGCACTTAGAAGATCAAAAATAAATCAATAAAAAGTTCTTTGGTCATGTAACATGTATATGTAAATAACAGTCTTGAAGATAGTAAAAGTCTTGCTATTACCGGCTGCGTTAACAGTTTCAATTGATATATTATAAAAAGATTTCATTTTAGAACTAACAATAGTTTTAATAAATTTTTCGCAGCTCTTGGATACCGCCGCTCATAAAGAGCTTCAGGTAATTATCCTCAGTGAAGTACTTTCATTTTACACCCAGCTATATACAGTGATTGCTGGATTGTTAGGATACATGTTTAATTATTCCGTAATCATGACATTCATCTCTATTTTCGTTTAACATTGATGTTTTTGTTTCATTTTGTGATATTTTAGACGGCACTCCAAAAGCAGTACCTAAGACTGACTTCATTGTAAGTATAACTTTGATTGGGGTTGGGGATGCCGGGGATAGCAAGATAGYTGTGAAGCGGTGAGGAGGGTGTATAATAGATAGATATGCATACCGACGGGGGAGGGTTGTGAAACAAAAAAAGAAATGACAAAAAGAATAGGAATATAATGGCATAGATGATAGATGCATCTCGCAGGGGATTCAAAATATGGAAATGATCATTGACCTAATTAGATTGTACCTTTTTTCATTCTTTTTTTAGCCATGAAAAAGAAAAACAAGAACTCATGGTATGTATACAAGTAACTCTTCGTTAAGTTTACGAGACTAAAGAACTACGTCTTCTACCAGGAGATATTTTCACATTAACAATATTGGAAAATACTTTCAATATATGATATAAGTATAAAAACGTAATTATTAGTTTTGTGCGCCTCTAATTAACATTCCTGACTTCTTATNAATACACATGAACAGCACTTCACGACAACAATAGAGGAACTTAACGTAAGTACACTGACTTGCTGGGGGTACCCACAGGCGATACACATCGGTCGAATAAAATAACCCCCCCAAAAACGTGAAAGATTAGTAACGCAACTTGAACAAATGATTATTGTTTTAATTCTATATATTTTTATTCACAGCTCAAGCTCAAACAGAAAAGGTGAGTAAAGCTAAAATATACAATGCACTTGACATGTGCATTTCTGCAAAAATGTATAGAAGCGTGTACAGTAGAATAAATTGCGGCAACGGCGATTGAAACTCGTACATTTTTAATATTACAAGAAAACGATGACAATTGATAGTTGTTCATGGTAAATTATCAAAATAATCAAAACAACGATATCCTTTGGTACCGCCTGCTGTATACGTCCAGCTAATCCCTCCACTCTCTCTCCTTACATGATAGCGAGTATGAGATGGAGAATGAAGTAAAAGAAAAGAATTTCAAAAAAGAAATGGTCAAACTAAACGTAAGTCGATCATGTCAATATTCTTGTCCAATAAGTGATAAAATAACTTCAATCAAAAACTAATGGTTGTTGATATTACATTACCAGGCCAAAGTGACTGAGCTTCAAAGGTACAGTTATTAATATTTATCTAGAGAAAGGAAACGGCATATCTTTATTTAGCAAAGACTAGGTGATATATATGGTTTAATGATATGTTGTAATTTGATCATTTACAGCGAACTGAATGAGCGKAATACACATGAACAGKDCWTGAKGACAACAATAAAAGAACTTAACGTAAGTACACTGACTTGCTGGGGGTACCCACAGGCGATATACATCGGTCAAAAAAAATAACGGACAGAAAACATAAAAGACTAGTATATTGTTAGTATCAGTTTTCTTTTACTTTTGTTTGTATGATTGTTGTTTCTGTTCTGTTTTTATTTTTAACCAAGAAGTACTAGATAAATAATCATTTTCATTGCACTATCAAATGAATACAACAAATCATTAAAACCTCGGGAACAAATGATTATTGTATTTTGATTATGTATGTTTTATTCGCAGCACAAGATTAAACTTCACAGGTGAGTAAAGCTACAATGTTTTTTGCTTCAATGGACTCTTGATATGTGCATTTCAAACTTGCAAAGATGAAAGAGCTGTATACTAGAACAAGATGACGAAGATACTGTTGTCACAATTATCAAACTCATTAATAATTCATAATGTCATTAGCCAATGATATACTGAGAATCTAATCACGTGATAATACCTTTATATTGGATAAAAGGTGCAGCAAGCTCAAAGTTGGGGGCGGCTTTGAATATTTTCAGGGGAGTACGGGGCTGATTATCATTCAACGTTTTCCTGATACAGACCTAATTAATAAAACATTAGTTCTGTATCAATGATATCACTGATATCACTGATATCACTGATACAGAACTAATGTTTTATTAATTAGGTCTGTATCAGGAAAACGTTGAGTAATAATCAGCCCCGCACTGCCCTGAAAATATTCAAAATGTCTAAACACGCGTGCAATCAAACACAATTAAAACACACTGAAAAATCAATATTGTAGCTATGCCGTTTCGTTTCCTCGCGATTTACTCGATCGTCGGATAAGCTTCTCTGTTTTTCTTGGCGCCTCGTATTGTATGAATTTGACCATCCAAAAATCAACGACTCGGCGTTCATGTCATCAAGACCAGCGTCAGCATATCCTGGAATGACTCGCTGTTTTTGAAACTGAAACTGGTGCTCCCATTTATGGCTTTCTTGTTCGCACGGTCTTTTTGCCGG